AGGAAAACACCTCTTAATAATCAGAGTTCTCAGTATAGGCAACCCGAGAATTTAGTCATCTCATGTTCCTTTAGGCATTCGTTCTAATGCAGGCATTTGTCCTCATGGTTTATATTAGTCATTTGTAGAATAAAAAAATTTCAAAAATGCTAGACAAAACAAAACCCTCAAAAGTACTGAATGCTCGAGTGCTGTCCATCACAGGAGGTTTACGAAGCTAGTCCCCTTCCGATGACAGTTCAGGAGTACACTGAAGAGTGTTTAATGAAAGGTCCTAAAAATCTGTTTACCGTTCCCCACGAAATGAAACTTGTTGACTTCAACCTATGTTAGTACAACGAGTGAACACTTCAAAAACAATCCCGGGCGCAACTACCTCAGAAACTGACTTGTTTTACTCATGCATACATTTGTCTGATTTTGTCCGCTTATAACCAGCAGCTTACTCCAACGCTTTGGAAAAATGCGCAGTCGAGTGTTTAAAGCGCATGATAGGTTATCTTAACTGATAAAGAGGGATTGTGATGGTTGATAGGAACCGGTTTTAACCACGATTAATGGCCTAAAGTGTATCGAAGTTGAGGAGGTTTATGTAGGAATGTTTGGTTTGCCAGCAGTAAAGGGAGGACGAACAGTGCATACAGGTTCCAAGTAGACACAATCGGGAAATTTTACAGTTATCATTTGCAAATGTCCCAACTTGACGCGATAGCATAAAGTGTATTTTTTATAAAGCAGTTATGCTCATCTGCTTGTCGGGGTTCTGACTTCAGTAGTTCAACTGTAAGAACTATTTTTGAGGTTTCGCAAAACCAGTCTCGAACCCCAATAACTTTGCAGGACACTACAGCTGCGTTTTAATGCCCCAAGTAATTCTTCGATCTTTCAGTAGATACGAGGCAGTACCAGGGATTGAGTATTACCTTAGACGCTAGTGCTGTCCATAATCAAAGCAATACCTCGAAATATAAAGCGGAAGTCGTCAATGTATAGGTTAAATTTTGGAAATCTCGACAGACAACGTACAGTGCGCGACCGATCTCATGAAATATTGGCCGAAATTCTGAAATGCCTTTTCAATTAGGAAGGATTACCTAGGTGGGTTTGTAAGGTTGCCTATCATGCTTATCATCCCATAGTATTTCAGACTCAACAAGATATCGGCTTTTGAATACACTTTTTTCGAGCTCTCATAATGGCCACAATTGGTAAAAAATGACTGCTAAAGAAGCATGTATTTTTCATAATGATTTTTGATGGTCATATAAATCCAAATATTTCTTACAGAAAACATGCACGAAAATATACTTTCTTTTACTTGTTCGGTAGAAAGTAACATTGACTTTACATTTTATGCCAGAAAAAGGTGTAGGGTTAGGTTTTAAAAACGTTTCTCATTATGAGATTCTTAAAACCGTACGACGCCCATACATACAGCATCGCACATCTCCGTTTACCAATGCTCCTAGTAACACGTACAACATGGTCCACATCCACTGCAAAACTTTATGAACTCAACATGGTAACTTCTCAAAGGCATAGAGGAATATACAGTGCGTGATACGCACTTTCTTCGAGCACAATACATAAAGGCAACGTAATTTTCTACCAAATGAGCAAAAGAAAGCTCATTTGGTGCATGTTTTTTGTAAAATATATTTGAATTTATTAGACTATCGAAAATCGTTGGGAAAATGCATGCTACTTAATTAGCCATTTTTTCCCGAGTGTGGTCTCTGCACGTGATATAGAAGAAGTGCATTTAAAAGCCGACATCCTGACGAGTCCGAAATATTACTGGATTATGCTGCATGATAATCAGCATAACACCCCCACTGAGGTAATTCTTCCTAATCGGAAACGCATTCCAGAATTTTGGCCAACATTTTATGAGATCGATCACGCACTGTATATTCCTCTATTCCTTTGAGAAGTTACCATGTTGAGTTCATAAAATTTTGCAGTGGATGTGGACCATGTTGTACGTGTTACTAGGAGCATTGGTAAACGGAGATGTGCGATGCTGTATGTATGGGCGTCGTACGGTTTTAAGAATCTCATAATGAGAAACGTTTTTAAAACCTAACCCTACACCTTTTTTCTGGTATGAAATGTAAAGTCAATGTTACTTTCTACCGAACAAGTAAAAGAAAGTATATTTTCGTGCATGTTTTCTGTAAGAAATATTTGGATTTATATGACCATTAAAAATCATTATGAAAAATACATGCTTCTTTAGCAGTCATTTTTTACCAATTGTAGCCATTATGAGAGGTCGAAAAAAGTGTATTAAAAAGCCGATATCTTGTTGCGTCTGAAATACTATTGGATGATAAGCATGATAAGCAACCTTACAAACCCACCTAGGTAATCCTTCCTAATTGAAAAGGCATTTCAGAATTCCGGCCAATATTTCGTGAGTCGGTCACGCACTGTATGTTTGGTGTGATACATGTGCGTTCCTTCAACGCCGCGTTCCATGGTCAGTTTATGTATATTCCATCCATGTTGATTAGAGATGCTATCTCCAAAACTGCCCATATTCCACGGAGTCAGCGGGAGTTTAGTAGTTTGCCAGACTTGATAAGAAATTTGCCAAACATCATTGTCATTATCATCGTAATTCTCATCAGATGATGTTAAGTTTTTGGTCTACAGCATTTTGGTTATTACAGTCGCAAAATGGCACTTTCATATATCCGAAATTATTGCTAACATTGGAGCTGGTGACTTCCTTCTCATAAGTCGTTAACGGACTACATGTCTTGACAAATATCGTAATGTATCACCGAAAAAATATTTCACTTAGGAAGAGTCTAACATTTTGCGTTGAATCTGGCATCGTAGTCTGTTGTTAGTTTAAGGCATTAACCTGGTTTACGATGCAAACTAATAGTGTAAGGACGTCACAGTGCTCCGAGGCAGAGAGATGTTTACGATGACCACGATCACGACCACCACCGCCGCCGAAGTGGGCGCCTGTGTTCATGGAGTGATGACCGCGCATTCAATATTTCGCTAATTACGTCTTTAAAGGTCTTTTTAAGTCGACAAACGCTCTTAAAAACCGATGCATGAGAAGTTCCTACGGTAAAATACGACTAGAAGAATCGACGATTTGTATGCGGCTCCAAAACGTGATCATTAATGTGACATTTCGATACAACACCGTTACAGACCAAAGTGTTGTTTGCTGTTAAGCACCATTAAATTTAACAGAAAAGTGCCTCACGTACGATTCTTCTGTCAGAAGTCCCTTGGACTAGGGATTTTCCAATTGTTATTTTTTTGTATGACTGCCGTACTAAAACAGACCGGGCGCAAATTACCTCCAGTCTAACTTTTTACAGGCACGACAATTCCGAATTCGCAAACAAAAACTACTCATTGCACCAAACAAAAATGAAAAAAGGTACACCCATGGCCGAACCGGACAGCTAAAAGGCCGAGAACAAAGATTTGTCACGCAAAGTCAGATTGAGTTCCCGTTTTATTGGATGAAACGGCACTTCCGAATGGAACCAAGCAGCGAGTGCTAACCTGACAACGAATCTATGAGAACCCCTTTTTTGGTAAAGCCTAAGACGTCACACTTACGCTAAACAGGTGTTATGCAGAATTGTGACTTTAGACTTAAGCAGGTGCTTCTTTCGTTTTACTGAGATCTAAAATTAGCATCAAAGTACGGGGGAAAATTTTTGACCACTTTTATTTATACAACTAGCAGACGATATGCTAGTCAGCTTTTATGGAAACGCGTTGAAATCATTTGCAATCAAGTCTTTTTTTCCAGCTGGACGGCCATATCCTACAACCGAACCTGAAACGTTTCAAAATAGGCACCGCCGTATCTTCGCGGTTGTTGTCTTTTAGGCTGAAGTTCTCCAACTTTTCTACAAGTTAGTTTTAAAGCTATTCTTTTTTTTGTAATTGGTGACGACTTGAGTGTGCATAAAGTCTGTTCTAAACTTTCGAGGCAATGCATTTGAGCCGTACAACTGGCAATTAAGGAGCGATCTTTCTTTTAAAGTTATTTAAAAGTAGGCATAGAAAGAACGGCTTCATACTGTGAATTATTTAAAAATATATGTAGTTGCGACTGACTATAAAATAGCACAACATAAAAAGGGCATTATTTACGTGAGTATTTAGTTTCGTTACAAAAGATAACGTTTTTCTGAAAAATAACATGTTAGCTAGAGATATTCGTTGATTTCTTCTTTCAGCCCGGCGACGTATTGACACTGTGTGTGCATTCCACGTAAAGTAACACCCGATCACGTACCTGCTGCCTCACTAATGTACTGGCAGGCTTGCATCCGAATTTCCTATCCATGAAACTTATGTAATAAAGAAAATTTTAAACTTTTGTTTAGCTGAAATGCAGATTTACATCAGTGGAGTTCTTTCAAATCTCCGCTTCATTATATTTGGCACTACAAAACATATAAACGACATGTATTGACCATCTCCACTCAAAGTTTTGAGGTAGATTCAAAGGGATGACTATCGGGCACTATGGGGATACAACGAACAAACAATTCAAAATATGAAAAATCAGTAGATTATTATGGACGAGAGGAGTTGATAAGGTTTTAAAAACTTCATCATGAGGTCAGTTTGTGGCAGAATTTTTAATCTCCCGCACAACTCTGTTTTGTTTAATTATTTCGCAAGAAAACGTAATGCCGAAATGTGCCGTAATTTGGTTATCGCGTATGCCATGTAGGCAGTATGCGCGCGTGCGTCGTAAAGCGCTATTACACGGTTTTCGGTGTGAATGCACACATGTTCGCCAGCAGGGGGCTGGGTGGCACAGCCGCGCTACCTCATCCCTCCCCCTCCACACTGCAAGCGCCGTTCTGAGGAAAAAGATTGGGCAAAGGGTTGCCAATCTCTGTCGCCTTTGGACACATGTGGCCGCTGGGCTTCCCACGGACGGAAACTATAAGAGTCGGAGGCTTAGGGCGATCCGCACTACAGTCTGACCCCGAACATCCATGTGGACCGGCGTATGCCTTAAATCCAGCCTCCTCTTCCCCGCCCCAGTCTCCTCCTCCTCCTCCTGCTCCTCCTCCCCCCCTTCCGTGTCACAGGCAAATGTGACGGCCACTTCCCCATGTCGGCACTTCCTGGGACGTTCTCTGCGCTTGCGCCTCATCTTCTCGGTCCTACTGATCTTCGTCTGGATTGATTCCTCTGCAGCACGCTCTGTGACTCCGCTGAGCCAACTGCTTTCGCTGAGGCGTCTTCTAGGGGGACGCGACGAACCGTTTATCGGTTCTACGCAGGATGTTGACTTCGCCTTGGCTAGCGGGTTGGTGAGCAAGCGGACTGTCTCTGATCCCAATGACCCCCCACGAATCATGTGCGGTCAGACGCTGATAAATAATCTGAAAAAGCAATGTGGGGCCCGTGGTACATTTTCACCCAATTGGAAACGGAGCTACGGTCGACAGGAAATCCAAACTGCCAGGGGTTAGTCGTTATTATTTAATGGATGTATAATCTGGAGGATTACTTTTTTACTTAACGTTGCGCAATATTTCTCAATCTATGTATTATTAGCAGCCGCGAGAACGAAAAGAAGAATTAAGTGGAAATGTGTGTGCATTGATTTAAAAGTTAACAGTACTACTTGTTGTTCTCCAGAATGAGGAGAGCTCCAGATGATTTTTTGATGTCATTTACATATTTGTCACATGGAACGGTGTGAAAATTGAGATCAAGTATTATGACTGATCAGTTAGGACGGCTGTGGTTTTTCTGAAAACTGCATTGCCCATTTTCCAGGCCTTATTAAACTCATGTAATAAAATGTAACCCAAATACTTGTCATCGGTATGATAGGCCAGCAACACGAAACCTAGCAGATTTATTATTTTAATGCAAGTCAAATGACACAAGCACTGGAAAAATGAGAAGCTGCATTTTTAAAACAGGGAATTTCTTCACTCGTACAACTGTACGCCATCACGGAAGACCCTGTAGTCGCGCCCGTTTGGACGTATTCTAGACAATTTCTCGGAAATCTGCAAACGCTCTTTTGACTGCCTGGGTTATTGTCAGAACAAGAGCTAGGCAATCAGTGTAAAAATATGTAAATTAAAATGGCGGTCCAATTCCCCTACTTGTAATCTGTGTCTGTAACCAGAGGAATGATAAAATTCAGAGGAAAAGTGCGACCGCATAACCATATAAAGCTCCGTTCTCCTTAACTTTGGAACGTATGAGACCTCATGGATTATATGATAGATGGATTTGCCAAAAACTTTTCATAACTTTGGCAAACATTTTCTCCTCCATATTTTATGTTAGTTAAGAGTATCAAAATTTATAAATCTGTTTTTTCCTCTGACACTTTCATTCCGACGGCACTATGAGAAATGTGTAAATTACTGCGCAACATTCGATTAATTTAACGTTGTTAACTAAAAAATATTTCCGAAAACAGTTTTAAATATAAAGTCACGGTAAAAAAGATACGATAATATACCAGACAGCAGTAATGTCAGGAGTTAATATGCACAGTAGTGCCGTGCATTTTTTAATATTTACTTGCTGGCAGGCACAAAAATACGTCCTTAAAGGATGACAGTAGGCATTTTTGAGCTTCATATATCATTAATTCATGCGCTTGCTGCCTAATTTGATAGGCGGGCGTCAAAAATAACTTTGTAACCATTTTATGTAATGAATACATCGTGCATTTCAATCAGGGAGGGTGCGATTTTCAAAAATTATGTATTTGCTCTGGCCATAAGAAATAGTAATAAAAATAACGTCATAAAATTCACCGCACTATTCCTAAGCCGATTATTTCAAGGCCTTGTAGGTAACTGTCAAAATGAGGCTGTCTAACAGACACTCGAAACGCCATTAACAGTTAGCGCATCAGTGCAAATCAATAGCGTCTTTTCTGTGTCAGAGATGTCAACACTGGTTTGTTACCACAAAGCAAACTATTAGGAACACGAAAACCAAACATGCACGAATACAGAGGAACATTTCTGGCTGCAATCTTTCCACTCCCCCTGAATCCTTATTCCACCAAAAGGGGTTTAATTCCCGATCACTGTAACCGCTTTGGGTAAATGTCATCGGAGATTTAAAGCGTTCTGGTTAGTTTATTTCAGGAAAGCCAACTCCCGTAGAACTGTCTGCAATATAAGTATGAAAAGAAAAGATCATTTTTACTTTTCGACAGTGATGGTGCAACAACTCGCTTTCTGATTAGATGTACGCTCCGACAGTAACTAGGCAAACTCAAAAGCAAAAACACTTGTGTGGAAAAGACAGTTTTAGCAACTGAATAATTCATGTTCATGCCAAAATCTCTGGTTAGTTTAATTTAAGTGGTTTAATAAATACGTTTACTTCTGATAAAAGAGTGGTGGAGAAGAGGTGAGATGGAAGTTTTGAGACGTATCTCCCTTTAGATAATGAGATAATGGATAATGAAATATCCTCACTTTGGATACAAAAGGCGCCAATTTTGAAGGATTGAAAAGATACACACAGGCCAAATTACGTAACGTCTTTATGGCTCATAATGGTACTGCTGGCGTCTCAACAATAAGCGTTACATTGGTTTATGATCTAATGGGAGGGAAGTCCATCAAAGGAATGGAAAAAGTGAGTTAATTCCTTTTCATATTTTCAGCGTCGAGAATGCCCTGTGAAAGATATTTGTTGCGGTACAATATTCATCACAAGTGCAGAATAGGTTAAAGTTACTGAATCGCTTGCATCTGAAATTTCTTGGTCAGGCAAAATAAGCAGATGTCAGGTCTCGATTCAGTCTAGTTAAAAAATACCTCCGCAAAAAAGATTTTTGCAAATTTCATGTAAGATGACAGGCCTTCTTGACACAATTTAATTTTTAAAGTGGAACATATAATTTTGAAAAGTCTGATGGACTTTGTGAGCGTAGTTCAGACTGGTGTAATTGTTGGTTACAGGAATTATTGTGCTCTATTTGGTATCTGACCAAAAGTGTTGCCGTGTTTGCAAATTTAAATCCAATTTCATATGCTGCGCTGGACACTCTTTCACAGCCTGCCTGACTTTTAAAGTGCGCTTTGATGTGCTTTATTTAGATTCGTTTTATTACGTCCATTGTAACCGATTAAACCGCATGTTCTAATGAAAAAGAGTTCCCGAGTCTGAAATCTAGGTCATCCTGGATTGCTGTAAGGGACTGACAGTGGCGTCCGGGACGGCCCTTTGTATTCTTTTTAATGGTCCTGTGAAGTTAATTTTTCTAATGTATGGAGGCAAATAGTCTATTTACAAAAGAAAATCTCTTCGCGCTGATGTCATACAAGCTGACGTGAAGTTGCTGTTGTTCATTAAATTACCTACTGATAATGCTGTATTATTTGATAATTGCTCTCAATTATTGAAAACTTCCTCAAGGGTCCATTTGTGTTTACTTTAATGAGCTGTGTAATTTGACTAGACTTTGTTCACAGATTGACTAAGTGAGATTATTAACTGCCGACATAATTTTAATAAATAATAATACCCGTCCTATCGGGGAAGCCTCTATTGGAAAGCAAGAACTGGAACCACATTCCTAAGCTCCTTTTTCATGCTGATAAAACCCGCCGATGCGTTGTCACCAATAGCAAAATTTTGCTTTAAAACGCAGAATTGTAATAAACATACGGTAGGTGAACTAAATCATGAAATGTCAAACGAAATTCCAAAATTCGTTTTCGTTCGAAAAGATTAATTAGGTAGGGTTGTAAAAATAATCAACCTGCAACATAATTCTATAATATTTCAGTGACCTCAGGGTGCTGGGTTTCGAATTAATTTCCTTTCAGCTGCATGAAAAAAACTACGTTATGTAAAAATGACTACTTATTTTGCATGAATTTTTTTCATTGATTTTCGATGCCCTAAAAGTCCAACTATATTTCATGGAAATCATGCATAAAAATATTTATTCTCTTGTTCATTTGGTAGAAAATAACGTCTTCTTCCAATTCTATGCTCAAAGGAAGGGTATAATTTGGTACTCAGAAACTTTTTTAATCTCCGAATTATTTTGAACCCGCTCTACCGTTACATTTGGATTCAGGGTTTCGAAACTGAAAGCCGGATATTTTTCGCGTACGGAAAACCACATATTTCTCTTCGGTATTAAAAGGGGATCATATAGTGTTCATACAATTTGGCAGTGGATTTGATCCATATTGTAAGCTTTACAAGCCACGCTGGTAAATGCAGAGTCATGACGATTTATGAACGGCCATTGCACAGTATTTAAAAGTCCCACAATTAGCAACTTTTTTAAAACCGAATTCTGTCCCTTCTTTGGGTATAAAATTGAAAGAAGACATAATTTTGTACCAAATGAGCAAGAGAGTGAATGCTCATATGCATGTTTTCCATGAAATCTAACTGAACATTTAGAGGCATCGAAAATTAATAAGAAAAATTCATGCTAAATAAGTAGTCATTTTTTATACAGCGTAGTTTTTGCATTCAGCCGAAAGGAAGTTCCTTTTGAAAGCCGGCATCCTGTGGTAACTGAAGTATTATAGAATTATGTTGCAGGCTGATTAGTATTACAACCATACTTAATTAATCTTTTTGGAACGAGAACGCATTCCGGAGTTTTGACTGACATTTCATGAGTTATCCAACCTACTGTACAGCGATTCAACATTCGGAGACTTCCCGCACAAAGCACGTTTGGACGGCTAGACGTCGTCAAAGTTGGACTTTAAATCCTTAAGGTGTTTTTCCTTGTCTTTATTTTGAAACTCAAATAGGTTCTAAGGTAATTTGTACAACCTGACTTAAGGCATACCTATGTCATTTAAATAAAAAATGGTGCTCACTGAGTTGGAGGCCCCACAAACGTTTTGCGATTCTAACGTCTAATAATTAAAGAATAGTTCTCTGAAATCAAATCGACAAAGATAGCCCTCTGAGAGAGAGACGCATTTTAGTTCTAAACGTTTCGTGGCATCCTACCGAATTCTGTGGAACACGACTTTTAGCAAACGATGAGTTCACTAATCGCGAAATACACGTTAAGTTATAAGCTTGCTCTGCAGAGCTTTTAATTCCAAGATTCGTATTGATCAAAATAAGATTATTTGACACACTGCATATATGTTGCTGGCGATCAGTCATCTAGGGTCATGGATTTTGACTGCGTACGTGATATTTCATAGGCGCCAGATGTACGCAACACACAGAGGTTTAACTGATTATTTTTTTAATTTTCCGACCTATTTTTATGCGTGGTAAAGTTTTTGAGAAATATTCTTGGAATATTGGTCATATTGTGAGCTGTTTTGCCGTTTCTCAGCGTATGCATAAATCTGTTCATTCTTTTTCCAGATGACAATGACGCTGATTCTGGGTTCAGGCTCCAGAAACGCTATGATGATTTGTGCAGCGTCTACCTGCAGTATGAACCCGACAGCCCCCTGTCTCAATGCTGCTGCCTTGGCTGCACTAATGCATACCTGGAAGGATTTTGTGCAGAGAAGTAGGAGACAACGCAAAACAACGAGTACAGAGGAGTAGAGAGAGGGTGAATCCTAATTTCCCCTTTCGTCTATTGCTCCCACCGAGGCTTTAAGTGCGAACGCCCAGCGTCGGGTGTCTTCATTCTCCCTATTTTCAAACTCTACTTGAGATTTATCTCCTGTCTCCCTTGGGGACAAAAATAAAGAAAGCCACCACCTATGTATTTTGTTTAAACTCTAATATAAAACGTCGTCATTCAATCCTGTGCTGCACATACGGCCAATTATTTTCCCGGTAAAGGGTTCTGAGCGGCCTGAGAAGGTCGTCTCATCGTCATTAAAGCTACATTTTTTCTGCGCCACAAGGATCATAAGCTTGTTACGTCCAGAATAATTTTTCTTGTATGTCCATGGTTACTGTACCCGAGGGTAGTTTAACTAGTATCGTCGAGTTTCGATAAGGATTTTCATCCTAACGATATGGAGAACATTCGCCCCGACCAGATCGTTGCACATGTTTAACTGCGGGTTTAGTAGAATGCCTCGATGATTTCGTGTAGAGGGGCGAAGCCGATCGAAGGTAAAGATGGATTGAAAGATCCAGGTTCCAGTTTCGTCTTAGACTGTGACGCTTCCATGATAGGGGAACCTGTTCAGGGAGAAAAACGTCCGTCGTTGACGATGAATAAAGCACCATATATTCATCAATGGGTGATGATTCACTAAGTTGACTAAAAAGGTTTAGGTTTTGCAGCGTATATGCTGTGCTTATTTTGAGATCATTGACGATGTAAAGGTTGTTTATTCTGGTCTTGAAAATCTCCCTGACAGTACGCATGCGACAGAAGTTGAAAAGGCCCTATCCTGTCGATTGATGGTCCAACCGCTGGTTGCCCATCAATGTAAACGTCCATAAACATTACAGGGAACATGGGACTAAAGAGGACTGAAGGATGTGTGCAAGCGCGTTCACCAAACTTGTAAAGTCAAATGGTTTTTGGGTTGATTCTTTATACGCGATGTGCGCCATCACATCGTTACAGAGTTATTTGTGCATTCGTGTGAACCTTCGACATGGGCGAATGGCGTTGTGACTCTCTGCATTGCAACTAACTTCGAGCGTCCAAGGATAGTTTAAAAACCAGCACAGCTAGCGGAGGTGTTTATTTTTATTCCTAGGCATTTTTCCGTAAGTAATGTGCTGTTAACATCATTTTAGTCGTTTCCTGGAGTTGCAGAATCAACATCAAGTCTCTGTTGAGAGTCAATGCTTCAAATATACAATCATTAAATTGAGGCGAAACAGGCAGAATTATTTACCGATAGTACCAAGAAAACAGGTTCTTCGATGTCCTTCGTGAATCTGTCGGCTACCTTTTGATTGCGGTGGTAAAAATAGAGACATCTTTTAATTTCAGCTTATGAGCCAGAAATAACTATTCCATTCTCCCTTGTCTTTGTCGGTAATGTTCTTCTGCCCACATTATGCGACGATGTGCGGCTGCTGATTGGGCTCGAGAGAGAGCCCGTAAGGCACAGAGGGATGAATGAGTTCCGTAGAAATGATTGCTGAGCGCCCCCTGCCTTTGTTTCTGTATATATTGTATAGATAAGACTAATTTTCCTAAATACTGAGAGGCCACCGTATTTACAGACTTCCGTCGGAATTGATTGGGTGTCCGGTACTTTGTTAGTGGCCGTCTGATGCACCGCTAGAAACTTTTGTTACAGCGATGACGGGCGAGCAAGCTCTTGATTCGTTATAGTTTGAAGAGGACTACTGATAGCGTCTTTGCAGACTGAAAATTTTCAGCAATACACTCCGGAGACCACAGGCCTTTTTTGGATGAAATATAAAGTCAGTGAGAGGCATCACTTCATAATCAGATGTAAGACAGTGAGATTATAAAAACACAGTCTGAACATGCATGCATCGACAAGTCGATCTTACTTCGGCCGGGGTGTCCCACTTCTCAGTTTTAGCTCGCGCGCCATTTAGCCGCGCCTACAAACAACGTTCGCTACCCCTTCTGACTTAAAAAGTAGACGTTTTACTCGGACTGAGGCGTATGTTGCAGGGATATAAAGCGAGCCTAGGGCAGCGGAAGGCGGTTAAGTTATATCCAGTATCGTATCAGCGCTCGGCGTAGTAGTCTGAAATATTTCAAATAATCAGCCTACTTAATTGTACTGGGTCACTAAAGAAACTGACTGGGTCAAAAATCGTACGCTGCCAACCAGGTGGGCATGCATTTGTCCTTCAATCTAACTGACGGATTTCTTTTGCAATTCAAAGCTACGGTGATGTTGGTAGATCAAACGACTGACAGACTCACTCGGTGTAACTGGGATATCGACCGTCAGGCTCCCTCAACAGCACACATCCATTGCCTGCAGGAGACATTTTATTTTCCATAGTATGCCATAACGAAATATTCTGCTTAATATTCAAGTTAGTATAGCCTTTAGCGACTTTTGAAACGCTAACGGAGATTCAGGACAATGATAGTCTGTACTTTTAGCGGTCAGCTCAGTTCTCCAGTCCAATTAGTTGTTACGAACGGAAAACGCCTACTGCAAGATGAGTACGAATAGTCGACCTCCTGAATCCTCGTCGAATCATATTCCACTGAGTCATCTCACATTCTAGGTCTTCCAATGTTACTTCCCTCCAGACTCGTAGGGCGAAGAAGGTTAGATGGAACGTGGGTTCTGCTTCTCATTTCTACAAGGTTTCCTCCTTTCTGAAGTCTAAAATGTTTCACTACACTCAGCCGAATAATTTGACTTCATGCATTAAACCCAAAGGTTTAGAACATGCAACCATTGGCAGATAACTGCGACTCCAGTTGCCCATCCACACGTTCTTTCGATGTCCCACTGTTACAAAAATGCTTCAGGCAACAGATCTTTTAACATAAGGAAGACGAAAAGCTATTTTCAGCGAATATTCCCATGTTACAATTGAAAAGTCAAATTGGCGAACACGTGTTTTCAGTAACTCTTCATCAGGCCAAAACGGTTACAATGAAGTTTAAGTTATGCGAATTACATGACTTCTAAATGATTCGGGGACAATTAATATCGATCGTTTCCACGCCACTCGCATGACGAGGCGTGCTATGGCGTGGTCGGCGTGTCGTGGTCATTGGGTTCAGGGGGCGAGGAAGATCGATATTAATTGTCCCCGAATCATTTATAAGTCATGTAATTCGCATAACTTAAACTTCATTGTAACCGTTTTGGCCTGATGAAGAGTTACTGAAAACACGTGTTCGCCAATTTGACTTTTCAATTGAAAAACTATTTCTTAAAACAAACTTGACATGTATAGTAGGCCGCTCGTCCATTGTCCGACTGCGACCGTGCAACAACAAAGCAGAATTATAAACAGTCTACTGCGGTGGTCATATATGGACCTTCGCGGTCTGACGGATGTTCCAGACAATCGGTACAGAAATGTTTATGGAGCCCCTGCAAAGTAACATTTTCTTTCCTAAAGAACTCACTGTCACATGCTGAGACGTCTGAAGTTGTCCAGAAGCCTCCTGCAATAATGTTTAATATATAAAATATCATAAAACTGGCGGATGTTTGCAAGTACATATCTTCAACATAGGAGCTGAACACGAATCACGACCCAAAACATACATATGCGAGACTGACCACATCTTTGATGTTCAATGGGCGACAGTGCCAGACCAAACTATAACAAAAGCCGAAGGTCTCACTCTCAGAGCATAATTCTCGGATACCAGGTTGAATAAATGACACGCTAATACTCATCAGAATTAGCATATAGTCAGTAGCTATAATGAGGCCGACGGAAGTATGGCTGACAGATACCTTATTTGAAAGAATAGCTAAAGAGGCATCCGACAGGTCTAAGCAGCCACCTTCAGTTTGATGACTGAACATGCTGACGGACCACTACCTCTGCTTGGCACTAATAGACAGACAGGACAGCAAAAGATGCTAGTAACCTTGCGGCAAGCTGCTTGCTCTTTTCCTAGACTTTTCGTGCGTTTTGTACTTCCACTATGTAGGAGTTCCTCATAGTCTTTCCGCGTTCTAAAATTATCCTCCTGGGACGTCTATGTTAGCTTGACTGGCATTATTTTAGGAAGGAAAAGAGGCAAGAAAACCTTACTCCGACTTCGACGATATGATGCCTCCAATAGGATTTGGTTTTACCCCTTCAAATAGCGCATTCACAGTATGCAAAAGCTGGTGAATATAACAGAATTTGAACTCTGCTTGTAGTCTCATTTTAGTCCAACTTGTCAAGTGAACAAATGCATGTCCCGGGAAAAATGACAGTCCTGCTCAATAGTTAGTACATTAAAAGCAGACTTTGTTCCGTTAAATTTAGCTTACAGACTAGTGTCTATGGACGTGTGGTAAAAAAATCTCACCGTACGAAGGGTAGTCCGTCCACACGTCTCTAAAAGTCAATGAACTATGTTACAAAAATGTAATGTGTATTAACCAGAAAAAACAGAAGGGCAGACAAACCTGCAAACTATGGTTATTTCGGTAATGACGGAAAGACCATTTTTAGCCAATCAATGAACGTCTGTATAATGTCATGTACTTTCACTCACGTGAATCGTATTTGAATGTATTTTTCCAAGATGTCAAAAGAAAGATGGAGTTTCCACTAAACATATATGTGGTTCTTGGGTTCATAATAGTCATACTCTGGTAACAGGTCTATAAGGTACTGCTCTTGAAAGGGAATGCTAAACAGAACCAACTGCAAAACTATAGACTCATGGGCTCATAGACTATAAAGCCGCCAAGATCCTTGTTGAGTATCGAGAGCTCAGTTATTCTTTTATAATAAGTTTACCCTTAAGGTATCTCATGGCTGATAAGTATATTTCTAATAATGTGGGGAAACAAATAAATGAATCCTGAAATAGGGTGTTGATTATTTTCAAGTTCGTGGAGGTTAAGTGGGTTTCAGATAACTTGTACAGCAAGCAGTGGCATAAACACAAAAGAGTTGAAACGGTGCATTT